AAATTTTTATTCTATCTATATTATACATTCTATATTATATTTAGGGAGCTCTGGTGCTGCCAGCCCAAAGGTGTGAGGTTCAAATATACCAACTGTTCCACAGGAGAAAAATGGGCAATCTCCTCCCTTGCAGTTGATTTACAGCCTCTGAAAACATGCTGGAGGGTCAGCTATCAGTCAGTTCCACCTCAACAGCACATAACAACAACAACGTATTACATCTACACAATCATTCTCTTTTTTATTATTATTATTATTATTTTTGTGTGAGTGTACCGTCAAATCAGATCTGACTGGTACAGCAGGAGATTGTCCCTCCTTCCCCGGTAGAACATCTGGTGGATTTGAACCGTGCGCCTCTGGCATTGTAGTTGCAGCTCCTTGCCACTAGGCCACCAGAGGTCCCCATACATCTACACAATCATTCTCATTCATTCATCCATTCATTTCAGTTAAGTCACAACCGCTTCATGGTTGACCCTCCAGCAGGTTTTCAGAGGCTGTAAATCACAAAGGAGATTTCCTCTTTCTCCTTTGACTCTGATGGATTCGAAACACCTACCTTTGAGTTGGCAATGCAGCTCTTTACCCACTAGGCCCCCAGCATGTCTGTTAGAATGTCTGTGACATGAATGCTGGCCCTTTTCAGAGTTAGAGTGTACCTGGTCAAAGCGCAGCTCCCGGTCCCCCAGCTCCTATGTGGGCCTTGGGACCTGCCAGAGACGAGAACCTGACCACTGTCTGTTCTCATCCCCACAGTGAAGTTCTTGGAGCCACCAGCGAGATGGGGCCCCATGGACCCCTGCCGGGACCTCGTCTCGGCTGCTCCTGCTGCTTCTTCCTGAGGCTTCTGGTCATCCGGAGGGACTGGCTCTTGTGTGGTCTGTGGAACTGCTGGCTGTGAAACGTGGTGTGGGGTCTGAGCCACAAGGGGACGTGGGCCCTGAGTCTCAGCTCAGCCTTGGTACTTGGGACCCAAAAGAGTGATTCAGGTTGCCGTGTTGAAGCAAGAATCTAGGGTATCAACTAGAAGGTCAGGAGAAGGGTTCCCTGATAATAATAATAATATTAATCATAATAATAATAATACTACCAGCTGGACCTGTCGAGCACCCACTGGGTGCCCAGGACCACGCTAAGTGCTTTTGGAGCGTTTTCTCAGCTCTGCCTCAGCGTTGAGTCCTTCTCATCAGCTAAATCCAGATTCCCAAACCTGCCATTCCGAAATGGGTTCTATCTTGGGTGGTTTGGGCAAAGCATTAAAAGGCCACTACCCTTGGGGAGTGAGGCTTGGCCACTGGAGAAGCAGAGTCCATCAGCTTCTGTGCCCCAAGGAGAGGTCAGCCTTGGCCCGGGTGGCACCCCAGTCCCCTCTAGTGGGCAGTCCCTGTGCTGAAGGGAGGTCTGCACAAACGGGCCACCTGCCTGGGCCCAGAGCCACCCTCTGTCACTGGGTCCTTGGGTATTAGGAAACTAGAGTGGCCTTGTGCTTTGGTGTCTTTCAACATAGCAGATTTCCCGTAGGAGACTGTGGGCATGTGGGCTTGCAGGACCTTGCCGGGGGCGTCCCAGGGGGTGTCAGGCTGTGTAAACAATAAACTGTGCCTTTCTCCACTCATCACCCACTGTGTGTTATTTCTCTGCTGACCCCTTGAGCCACAAGCAGGTGTCGGGCCAAGGGACTGGGGTTGGGGGGCAGTGCCCTGCCCACAGGTCTTCCCTGAGAAGTATGACCCACATGCTTTCCTTCTGAGGGTCCCCAGGGGAGGTGTCTGCATCCCACTGCACCAGAGCCTATTGGGTCCTCTGTCCTCCCACCCTCCAAGTGCTCACTGTGGCTCCCCTACAGCAGATGGAGGGGTCTCCCAGCCCACCAGAAGCCCACTGCTGTGTGCCTTCACCGTCCTCGGTGCTGGGGAGCATGCATGCCTGAGACATGGCCAGACCCTTGTCCAACCCATCCTCTTGGACAAGGAGGACCCTTGTTCATCCTTCCCCACCCCCAACCAAAGGCAGCAGAGGTGGGCATTCTGCCCCTTCAGGATCATGGTGTTCTGACAAGCAAGCACTGCCCAACCAGACAGGACCACAGAGAACTTGTTCAGAAGAGCAGGGATCAGGTGCAGCACTCAGTATTCTAACACCACACAAGTGCTGTATTCATTACCAGTGCTGCTAAGACAGAAATACCACCGATGAGGGGTTTCAACAAACAAACTCATCTACTGACGGTTAGAGAGGCTGGAAGTCCGAGCTGAGGGTGCTGGCTGTAGGGAGGGCTTCTCTCAGAGACTCTGGGGAAGGTCTTTGTCTCTGCTCAGCTTCTGTCTTGATTCCTCGGGGTTCATCATGAGGCCTTGCATGTCTTCCCCCATCTCCCCTTACTTACTTGCGCTATCTTGTCTTTTATATCTCAAAACAGAATAATTTGAGACATGTCAATACTGCCTCATTAACACAACAAAGCCCATTCCCGAATGAGATTATAACCACTGGTAGTTATTGTGTACCATCGAGTCAGAACCGACCCACAGCTGACCCTCCAGGAGGTTTGCAAAGTCACCGGGTGGATTGACACGGTGACTGCTGCAATGGGCTCTTGTGGGTCAGAAAGTGTGAGGATGGCGCAGGACAGAACAGGGTTCAGATCTTTTGTTCTGAGGGTCACTGTGAGCTGTGCTTGACTCCACAGCACCCAACAACAGATGGCATCAAAGGAAAGTGGCCATCTTTCTCTCACCAAAGTAACTGGTGGATTTGAACTACATACGTTTGCATTAGCAGTGCAGTTCTTCACCTCTAATCCACCAGAACTCACCAGGTGATAGTAAAGGTTAGAATTTACAACACATATTTGGGGGATAAAGATCAAGCCCCAAGGGATGGGCAGCGGTCACACATGAACTGTCCTGGCCGGAAATCAAAGCCAGGTCTTCTGCATGAAATGCACGAATTCAGCGAATGAGCCCCCACTGCCTTCTCCCTGACTCTTGTTGCTCAGTCCCGTTGGGCGGGGACCAAGTCATAGCTGACCCTTCAGAGGGTGTTCAGAGGCAGTAAATCACACAGGAGGAGACCGCCCATCTTTCTCCTGCTGAGCAGCTGGTGGGTTTGAACCACGTCCCTTTGGGTTGGCAGCATTTCGCATTCATTCTCTCTAGTCCTCGTGTTGTTAGAACCAATTCATAGCTGACCTTGCGGGGACTTTTCAGAGGCTGTAAACCATGAACATTTGGTTCTTAGTCTGTTGTGGGGGCAGGACAAAGAAGAGGGAGCAAAAGCCAAGGTCCCCACCATCTCTAAGGATCCGCTTCTCTCCATAAAGATGATGGTCTAAGGGAACTCTGGTGGCCTCGTGGCAAGAAGCTGCACTGCAGCCCCAGAGGTACACGGTTCAAATCCACCAGACGCTCTGCTGGAGAAGGAGGGACAATATCCTCCTGTACCAGTCAGATTCAATTTGATGGTACACTCACACAAAAATAATTAAATTTTAAAAAAAAAAAGATGACAGTCTAAGGAACTATAGGGCAGTTCCACTCAGTCACGTGTTATTAGGGACCACTGAGTTGGTGCCACCTGTATACAGCAGATGGGAACACTCCGGTCTGTGCCAACGTCACTGTTGCTACTGTATTTGAACCCATTGCTGCACCCACTGTGCCACCCTTTCTCCTTGGGGGTCTGCCCCTTTAGAGTCACCATCAACTTGGTGACACCTAACCATTGATTGCTGTTTTGTTTCAATAGCTAGCCTTCCCTTATCCCCTAGCTAAAAGGCTGATTCACTAACGGGTTTTCCTTCACAAATGTGCTGATTGCTCCCTGTCCCAACAGTGGATTCAATGGCTCCCCAAGATCGTATGCTGTTGTTAAGGAGACAACAAAGTGGAGACCAATTCAACAGTTTCTGCACCAACAATTCTGTGACCTCAACACTGTTCCTGTTGTTGTACTGCCCTTTTCACGGGTTTTCTGACTCATCCCTCCCCCATTAACATAAACGCCCTGCCCTCTGCTTCCTATCTAATCCTTGGAGTTGGCTGTGTCAATTTTCTTTCATATCAATAGGTCTTAAAAGAACACAGTGCTCAAGGCAGACATGTTTTGCTAGTTAAACAATGGGCTCAAAGTTAGTAATGAATGCAGGGATGAAGCAATGTTTCATTCTGTTGCGCATAAAATCACAATGACTCAGAACTCGCTTGAAGGTGACTAACAACCACAAGCTAAGACTTCAGGAGATTTTTTTTCTTTTTTGGTTTGTGCTGCAAAGATTATCTCAGGGTAGTACTTTAAGATTCCTCCAGCCTCTGTGGCTCTGAAGTCCATTATCATTTGATGTTTTGTTCCACATTTCCCCCCTTTTGATCAGAATTCTTTGAGAATATCCTTCTTTGATCAAAATGTGCAGTAATGGTCCCAGTCACTATTTTGGGGGGTGGAGGTGGGGGAATGCAACAATTTTATTGAAAGAAAAGTGCAATGACATTTCTTGATAGCTTAAGAGAGGGAAACTTAGACACCACCCCTCAAGCGCAGGACCAAGTGCGGAGTGGACTCTTTCTGGATATTGTAGTCAGACAGGGTGCATCCATCTTCCAGCTGTTTCCCAGCAAAGATCAGCCTCTGCTAGTCAGGGTGGATGCCTTCCTTGTCTTGGATATTTGCCTTGACATTCTCAATGGTGTCACTGGGCTCAACCTCAAGGGTGATGGTCCTACCTGTCAAGGTCTTCACGAAGATCTGCATGCCCCCTCTCAGACGAAGCACCAGGTGCAGGGTAGACTTTTTTCTGGATGTTGTAGTCCCCAGCCACTATTTTTTTAAGAAGCATTCTTTTTTTCTTTCTCCACATGTCCACGTGCAAGTCAGCGGGCCGGCACAGCCAAGTTTTGTGCCAACAAGAAGCTGCTGTTGTTGTAACGGGCAATCTCACACACAGCCCTGTGGAGGGCAAATGCAGCAATCATGGCACCCAGAGGACAGGGCAGCCTTGTCACCCTCTTCCCCCAAGACCATGATTTCCCCATGCCATTTCCATCCCAATAGGAGGGGGCTGAGTGAATCATCCAGAAAAGCTCTCTCTCAGCCACCTTTCCTCACCCCAGGCTGGCAGGCTCTCTTCTGTGAGAGTCCTTAAAATAGCTCCTTTCTCTCCACAAATTCATTTCCATGGAGATCCAGCTATCTGGAGCCCTAGATGCTTCCGGCAAAGCTTGGGAAAGCTCAGCTCCGAGCCTCCATTCCAATGGAGAGATCCTTCTTAATGCAAATATCTAGTCTCTCCCACATGCCTACCCAGGCCCTATCCAATGGGGTCCAGCAGAGGCACTTCTAAGGGATAGCCCAGGTGGCATGTGCCCAGGGCACTGCTGGAAAGGAGGCCGCTGTGTAGTTCCCTTTGCCAGCTGTGAGAAGGCATTCCCCACATGAAAACGAATCCTGCTGTCTGTGAGAGACTCCCTTGGTCAAAGTGAGGTAATCTCGTTCTGCTGAATATAGAAAGAGAAGAAGAGGGTGAGGCAATGACCTTGAGCTCACCAAAGGCCCATTTCCATCAGTGGAAGGAAGGAAGGTGCACTTTCCATTTTCATGTAGTCTTGAAATAGGTTGGATGAGTTTACTTGTGGGATCCAGGTTCCACAGTTAAAATAAAAACCGCCAGGGCTGCAGCATTCTCCACTCTTCTTCACTCCCTGTGCTGAACAAACCATTCGAGAAGCTGGATTTTATGAGGAAGAATGTGACATCAGGATCAGTGGAAGACTCATCAGCAACCTATGTTATAAAGATGACACAAGCTTGCTTGCTGAAACTGAGGAGGACTTGAAGTACTTGGTGCGGAAGGTCAAGGACAGCAAGGTTAAATCTCAACATCAAGAAAACAAAAATCCTCACCAC